CAGGCTCTCCTGCACATTGATGCCATGTCTTGGTCCCTGTCCAGAGACAGGGACAGAAGATTTGTTCTAAAACAGACATCAGTTTGGCATTTGAAATCTGCCACTTCCTAGGAAAGCCAGAGAAAGAACATCTCTCCATTCCTCCTGGTAAATCCGGGCCACCTGCCATGAGGAATGCAAGGTGACTGGATCAAAGAGGAGATGAGGAAAGGGCAGTCAATCACACTCTGGTTTCATAGCCCTGCTTGGTGGGTTTGCAGCAAGACACTTCTGCTCCTTTCTCACCACACCCCAAGAAAATGGGTTTTCATCTTTGTCATGCCTCTTCCATCCATTCCCTTCATGTTTGGGTATCTCCCGGCCTTTCCCAGGGTTTTCTCTCTGTAAGGTCTCAATACATTAGAGGATGTAGGCACTCCATTTTAGGAGTAAGAAACATAATTATCTATTCAACTACAAATGTGAACATAACACAGTTACATCCGAAATGCAAGGTTGTAAATAAAGAGCACACACGCAGCACGTCTTCCTTAGCAGATTACCCCATCTCCCAGTGATTTGTGCTCAGGTGCTTCCTGAGCCAGAGTGGATTGTCTGGGAAGATGAGATGTTTTGCACATCCTGAAGGTGACAAACGTGCCCATGCTGACTGCGGTTTGTCACGTGCAGTGAGTCTCACGGAGCAAGAAGCCTCAGAGTGATGATAAATATATGTTGAGCTGCTGATGTGAAACATGGCCAGGACCAGATGTAACAGATTGGTGAGACCTAGCAGATAAGGATAAGTCACAGAAAGGTGAAAACAGCTATGTTGGAGAGGCTTAGCTCAACTGAGAGCTACTGAGCAGTGAAGAAACCTAATGCATTGGAGCAGCTTGTATCTCACAAAGGTGTTCTTGGAGATTATTCATCCTTGGCATCACAGCTACACTTGAACCTTTATAAATACCTGAAAATTGCTGGATGTGATAAATCTTTTAAGTTCTGCTGTTCTAATCAAAATTGTTCATCACAAATATTAGCAGAAAATGGTGTGTGGATTTTTCAGCTCTATAATTATTACTATTTTTCATTTGAGTTAAGATCTGAGATGGAGGTTAGACTAGACACCACTGAGGAAGCCAAGAACTCAGAATCTTATGGGCTGAGCCAAGTATCAATCCAGTAAACTCTAAAGGTCTGAGAAAAAGATAACAATGTGCATTCAGTTGAAGGGGGGGTGTAGAGGCCCAGAGAAGTTGACTTTAGTCAAGAAGTGGATTGTAGTGGTGTTTTCTTCTTGTGGGTCATCACAAGGGGCAATGTCACTGGGAGAAATTTCGTAAATTATCTGCTGAGTGCTGCTTTGTGATCTTCAGTTTGAGAAGGAAACCCCTCTGCAGGCTTGGAGAGCTTAGCAAAGACAAGTAAAGCTCAGAACTGGGGCTGCATGCAGTGTCCAGTGGCAGAGAGCCAAGAGTAGGTGAGGGAGTGGACCAAATGGATGGTCTGCTCTCCTTGTTCCTGATGTGGGGCTGGGACATAGAGCATTCCTGCTGGGAAGGGTACATGCTCCCAAGCTGACAGGCCAGAGCTCCAGGAGAGTCATTCAGCACATGCTTATTTACTACGAGTGTAAATCCACACCTACAGCTGCACTGTGTCAGCCAAGGCGTTGCTCCTGGCAGCTGACAGTCTTATAAGGATGAAGGTCTCTTCAGCTCAGCCCCAGCCCTGTGGATTAGTCCATATGCCAAACACCAAGGGAAAAAAGCATGCTCCATGCAAGCAGCTAAGAAAGTCACAGGCATCTCTTTCCTGAGGCTCTCTCCCGGGTGCTGAGCACAGGAAGGAGAGTTGGAGCAGAGTGGGAGGGAAGGAGGTGAAGGAAAGAAGCAAGAGAAACAAACATTGGGAGCATGTGTCTACAGCAGAACTCTTCTACCACTTCCTTCCTGCCCTGCACCATCAGCTGCCCTGGTAGAAGCCGTGCAGAAAGGAAAATATTCAGATGAACACAGGGTCAAAAGAAGTGTGCAAAGCCCAGAGTGAGGGGAGGAGAGAGAAACTCAATCAGTCCTGAAGGTGTTTTTGTTAAGGTGCTCTGAGTAGACAAGCTGATGAGTAACTGAGATGGTGTGTGACTTCTGCCATATCCCTGCCCTGGCTGCCCCCATCTTCCTGCCCCATGAGCTGTATTAACCTGCTGTGCTTTACCATAGAAGGGGAGGTCTCCAAGACCCTCTGTGGTGCACAGGTGTAGAGCAGCTCTGTGGTGTGCAGCTGAACAGCAGCTCTCACATTGGTCAGGCACATTTGAGTCGAGGACAAGCTCTTGTATGTCAGTTCATAGGTGAAGTCTGGGCAGAGAACCACTGATGACCCTGAAATCAAACACCCTTTTTATCCCCTCTACACAGCAGTTTGGGAGGTGGCCCAGAGAAAACCCCTCCTCCTACACCATGGGTGGCAGATGCTCAGAGGCAGCAAAAAACTCAAGTCACCACCAGCCTTGATCTCAACCACTGCTTTTGTAAGTTAACACCAGCTCTCAGAACACTTTCACTGCTAGGAAAGGAGGGAAGTAACTGCACCCTCTGACACACAACCTGGCAGCAGCCCTGCTGACTACTGGGATGTCTTCCCCACACAGCAGTGAGGATTCCCTTCTACACTGATTCTTAAGATGGGACAATACTTTTTTTGACCCAACTTTTCTGAAGGCATGAATATGTCTAAATTACTCTACAACTTCATATTCATCTATCTTACTTTTATAGGCTGAGCTCCATGTGAGATTTTGGATGCAGTGACATGTGGCATGAGAAATGCTGGGGTTTTCAACTACAATATGATTTTAGAATGAGGAACTAGCAGATAGGAGAGGGATGGTTTTGTGTCCAGGGACTAAACTTCAGATCCCCCTTGAGAGAGCTTCAACATACCCACCAGACTCCAGTCCAGTTCTCAGAGGTGGAGGGATGCAACCCTCTGGAAAGATACTTTGGCCCAATCAATGCAGCAACCACCAGCCTGTCAGCACAAGAGTGGAACAAGATTTACTGTGGGGAAGTGGAAGGGAGTCCCAGAGGGGGGGTCACACCCTCCACTGTACTTCTATGCTCACAGCACTTTCTCAGTTCCTCTGTCTGAGGAGGTGCCTTTCAGACATCCCCAGCTCAGGGAACAGCTTATTCTGCTGCTGGTGTTGGGGATGGCAGGTACCACTGGCTTCTGCCCTCTTGCTTGCCAGGACATCTTCATTCAAAACTGACTGCATCGGGGTACTTGATGGAAGTGAACATCTCTGAACATGGGACAGGAGATCCTCTCTTGGTGTCTATGGCTGTGGCCAGCACTGTGCAGCTGTCAGGGTCTTGCAGCCCAAGGCAACCTGTGTCCGTTTTCTCACACTGTTCTCATAATCTGGCAACCAAACTAAGTCAGGGGACCTGATTGCCCTTCAAGCTCTAGGGATCTTGTAAGGCAGGTGCCCTGTTAAGCATTCAGGGTTGACCTGCTTGTGCCACCCCAGGGACTGCTCTTGCCCACATGGAGGGGAAGAGATGCAGGAGACAATCCCACTGCACTGGGAGCAAACTGCTTCCCCTTGGTCTGCTTGAGATGGGCCCAAACAAGCAATAAATAAATGTTCAGAGGCTGCTAAAAGCTTCTCCCCTGCATGAACTCAGGGTTAAAAAAATTGCACACACACAGTGTGGACTGTGAAAGTTCATGTGCCTCCTCTGTCTGAAGGGACTGTTTCTGCCAACACATGTCCTTGTGGAGTTGGCAGGATTTAGTTACCCTGGAGTAGGTGTCCACCCATAAGAGAATCCTCAAAATGTTAAGCCAGACAAGACATCTTTTTATCAGGAATGTTATACAGTGGACACCTTCAACTCATAAATAGAGCAAAATACAATTTTTAAGGACACACACCACCATTACAGTGCACCCACCTCCATATTTCTCTATTCCCTTGGAGAATACTTCTGCATGGAAATCATCCTGTGACTTTGCAATAAATGCTGCCCCTAGCACTGCTTAACACAACCCAAATGCCACACCTGCTTTTGTGTATGGTCATCTTGAAAAGGTAGAGATTTTTGTAATCACTCCTGTTCAAAGAGCATTAAATTTCTTTGCCTCCATCTCTTAAACATGTATATTCTTCTCTTTGGTCTTGTCTACATCCTCTAACTGCCCTTATTTCCTGTTGTTCCCCAGAGGTATCAAACAGATGTGGTTGGTAGTTTCACTGATTTTCTATTATGGGTGTAGTATCATACTACGAATTTGTCTTCTTCAGCTGTTATTTATTCTTTAAGAGGAGGGAGGAGAGAAGTGTGAATTAGACAGACCTGACCCACAATGTTGCAAGTGTGGAGGTACACACCAGTGGCCAGATTCTGGTTCCTGTATACAAGGTAGTCTCTGACACAACAGCACAATTGGACTCGATGATCTTAGAGCTCTTTTACAACCTTAACGATTCTATGATCCTGTGAACTACCACCACCCACTTTAGATGATTCCCCAACCTGAGTGACCATGAATGTTACCTTCATTTGGAAGTCTGCCTCTGAAAGCTCTGCAGTTTGCATTTTTTTTAATCGGTTAGAAAAAAAACCAACTGAAGACTAATGCCCTCAATTTACTCTGGGAATTGTCTTTAGTAACTGACCAGCAGCTCAGTCTTATTTATGAGGCATGGTTTAGGAACAGTCCATGAAACCCTATTTTAATAGACAGACACCCTTTTTAATAAAATGAAATTTCTTGTAGTCAAGACATTCCTTGCGGAAAACAGCACTTTTTCCTGGAAGTGAATCAGACCTGACTCCCAGGGGGTCCCCACAGAAGACCAGCAGGACTTGGAAAACTTGCCTTAGATGCTTCCTCAAGCATCCCACTTGCTCCCCTGACATGTCAAGTGGGCACCTACGGGGCCATAACCTTTACTGACACATTTTTAAGTGATGCAATGCTAACTTTCCACCTTGTCTTCTGATTCTCAGGAAACACCAGCTGGAATAAGAATAATGGAAGACTCCCTAGACACAAAAAATAACTCCACTTGCCCAGGAATTCCCTATGAAGAGAGCCAGCCTCTTCTGGTTGCTGTTTACAGCATCGTTTTTGCCATAGGCCTTCCAGCAAATTGCTTAACTTCCCTGCTTACACTGGTACAAATCCAAAGGAATAAAATAATTGCCATCTACATTTTCAGTTTATCGTTGTGTGAGCTGATGTATATAAGTACCTTGCCTCTCTGGATTATCTATGTGCAAAACAGGCACAGATGGACCATGGGTGACACTGCCTGCAAAATAACAGGATTCATCTTTTTCTGCAATATATACATCAGCATTCTGCTTTTGTGCTGCATTTCTCTGGATCGTTACGTGGCACTGGTGTATCCTCTGGAATCAAGGGGGAAAAGAGGACAGAAAAAAGCCATCATAATAGTCTGTTTTCTTTTTGCTGTGGTTGCAGTAATCCACACTCCAGTATTCTTCATGGAAGATGAGCAAAACAACACAAATAGAACCTGCTTTGAGACTGTGCCCCTTGGCATAAAATTGGCTTCTTTCAGCTTTGCAAGATTCCTATTTGGATTTGCCATACCCTTCACAATCCTCATTTTCACGAACTACAAAATTTTTCAAATTACAAAAAGTAGCAGCAGCTTGACTTGTCACCAAAAAACCAAAGTGAAGTATCTGGCTATTGCCATTATCGTAATTTTCCTGATCTGCTTTGCTCCCTACCATGTGGTACTCATAATAAGAGCCATACACTTCATGTTTAATCAGAATTGCCCATGTCCATTTGAAAGGAAGATATATTCAATTTTTACAGTGTTTCTGTGTTTAGGCACTGCAAATGGTGTTGCTGATCCAATCATCTACGTGCTGGTTAGTGAAAACATCAGAAGAGATTGTTACAGGAGCCTGAGGAGATGGAGATTGAACTCATCCAAGCTAAATTCATCCATTAATCAAAAGACTGAGAGCAGAAAATCAAAAATACAAGAAGAATCAGGGGAAGAAGGGCAAAGAGAAGAAAACAAAGAACTAACAGATTCGTCCAACATTCAAAAGACCTGTACTAGTGGCAGAGACCAAGAAGGTGGCAGCTAGCAGGTAGATGTTGAAACAAATAAGAAATTCCCAATGCCAGCTGCAGACTGCAGCACACAGGTATTTAAATGCTGACATCATCTTGCATGTCCTGCGTGGGTCAGCAACTCCTTGAGGACATTACAGGAGCAATAATTCTTATTTCTTCTGTTTGTCTCCTGCAATAAACTTTGCCCACCAGTATCATCGGTGAAAATATTGCTTTGCTAAGGATACGTGGAATAAACCAAGTAATTTACTTTGAATCAAACTGAAATCTTAAAAGCTTAATTTTTGGACTGATTCCTTTCCTCACATGCAGTAAAATGAGTTTTATCATCCGAGCAAAAAAAAAAAAAACCAACCCACTGCTGAGGAGAACAATGTGTCTTTCCTATGGTTGACATTTTTGCTTCTTGAGGAGGTACATGTTCAGAGTCTCATAAATGCACTCTGCCGTTACTGTTTGTGGTTAACCAGTGGAAAATATTAAGAATGAGTAAGTCTTTCAACGAGAGCCTTGAAAATGTTTCCCATAGTTCTGTATGCATTGTACATTCTGGGGGAATTGGAGAGTAAAACAGTGGCCTGGTAACACAGAATGACAGTACTGCTGCTGCATTAGTCAATGCACTGTCCTGAAATTCTTAAAATGTACAATTCTAATGCTTGACAGTTTACAATTTGTAAATTTTACTTGTTTTGCAGCCAAATCTAGAGTGCACTGACACATATAGAAAACTTAGAGATTTCCAAGTGGAGTCAGGGACTCTTTTATGCCATCTTTGAACATTTGTTGAGCTTGTGTTTCATTTCTGTGTAAGCTAACACTGTCTGTAAAAGAGCCAAGTGCCTTACTGATGTGGAAGGGCTGGCAGCCTGGAAAGCACAGCCCTTTCTCCCCATAGCTGGGAACTCCCTTGGATATGCTGGAGGTGCACACAGGAGACCACCCTGCAGCAAATTTCTTACTGATGCTACCACTTTTACTATTAATAACTTATTGATAGTAGTTCCCTGTGCCTTCAAACCAGAATTTAAAAATTAAGAATTGTACAAATATGGCAAGATTTATCTAAACGCTTCTTCATATTTTTGTGTGATCCAACAGACAAAGATCATGAGTCAATCTGAGTACGAGTTTGTAAAGTGTTTCACAGCATCATTTTGTTTCATCTGTAATTTTGTATTTCTGTGATATTTTAAAACTGTTATTTGTTCATATTTTTAATTGAACTAGTATTAGCCAATGTTAATATTAATGTAAATACATTGGGTTTTAATATATTAAAATTGCCATTGATATTTCTATATATTATGTTTTATTCTCATACTTGATTGGAAAGAAATATTGTGCCAAAATGATATTTCTTCAATTCATTATATTTATTACATATTTCTTTTTTTATTACCATTATTTAATTGCTCCTCTGGTATCTACATATGAAATGTTTTTTCCTCAAAAGTAGCTCACATAATACTAAATCAGAAAAATGTGAAGTTCTGTTGAGATGTTAATCAACAAATTCTGTGTTTCTATTTTCATACACATCCCAGAAATCAAATTCTCTGAGGTATCAAGAAGAGATCACATTATCAGAATATCTGTAACTTTGCTGAAAATCAAACTTTCAGCAGCAGCTGAATACAGCCCCAACACTGGTGACACATTTCTGAAGATGCAAATGCAAACTGCCCCAGCCTCAGGATTTTCATAGTCTAAATGTAAACTCTGATGAATAATATCAGTGAATTTAGAAGAAACCAGAGGAACAGGCTTCTGAACTGATTGAAAAGGATGCAAACTAGATATTGACCTCAATGAATTTAAAAATCTCTCTGATGTTTTTCCTCTGATAAATAGTGTCTAGAAAGGTGATTGTCCCACTCTACCCTGCACTTGTGCGGCCTCAGCTCAAGCCCTTTGTAGCAGTTTTCAGAGCCACGACACAAAAAGGATATAAAGCTATCAGAGAGTGTCCAAAAGAGGGCTACAGAGACAGTGAAGGGTCTAGAGGGGAAGTTGTAGGAGGAGTGACTGAGGTCACTTGATCTTTCAGCCCACAGGAGAACGAGGGGAGATCACACAATGGGAAGCAGAGGGGCAAGTACCGATCTCTTGTCTCTGGTGACCAGTGATAAGACCCAAGATGAAAGCATGAAGTTGTGTCAGGGGAGGTTTAGGCTGGATATTAGAAAAAGGTTCTTCACCCAGAGGGTGGTTGTGCACTGGAACAGGCTCCCCAGGGCAGTGGTCATGGCCTCAAGCCTGACAGAACTCAAGGAGCATTTGGGCAATGCTCTCAGGCGTGTGGTGTGACTATTGGGGATGGTCCTGCACAGGGCCAGGAGTCAGACTTAATGATCCTTGTGGGTCCTTTCCCACACGGGATATTCTGTAATTGTATGAAAAAACATTAGAGCTCAGTGCCATAGATGCAAGGGACAGGGATTATCAGGATCTGATGCAACAGCTGTAATTCTTTTGCCTCACTGAAGTTACAGGCTGTTCTAAATTACTATATCGTTATGCATCTTCTCTTAAAGAAAATCATTGGAGTTTCTTTGTTCAGACACACTCTGAATCAAAAGCCTCAGAAGTGGCAAAGACTTGGAAATTTACCCAGATAATCTCCAGAGGTGCTTTCCAAATAATTCTGTGACAGCTTACTGAAAGTATTAGGGGCCAGGTATCACGCAATGTATCCATATGGAAGAACTACCAATCCTGACTTCTTTGGATAAACAGAAAAGCAGCTTTACAGCTGAGAGAGGACATACAGAAATGCTATTTTGTGTTGTTAAAATATCCCATCAGACAAACTTGATGTTTCTTATGTGATAAATTAAAGCATGTGATCTGGTTTGTCAGAGAGTATCTGACTGTGCCACACAGGCAAAGAAAAGGTCTCAGCATTGGGACACATAAGAGACTCAGCAAGGGGCACTACTCATGTCAGAGCAGATCTAAGGGGTGGACTGACTGTGTGGGTCTTTCCACCCTTTCCTCTTGCAGAGACATCACCCTGCAGTGGGCCTGCAGGGACTGCTTCGTGCTGTGAAGAAAGGTTCACTTGCTACATCGGATCTGAATCTCAACCTACTCACTCAACTCAAGCTATAGGATGACTTGTAGAGTGTACAGAACCAAGCCTAGGCTCTGCCTCCCAGTTTGGTCTTTAGATGGTCAGATCTCCACACGTAAGGCTCAGAGCAGGTGAGCTGCTCATCAGCGTACGGGGTTGAGATTAGAAAATTCCACTCTCTTTTGTATTCAGCATTTACTCAAGTGTAACTTCCATCATTTAAAGAAAAGTGGGCTACTGAATAAATAAAACATTATTTTATTTTTACATGTGTCTCAGACATTCATAATGTGCCTGAGAGATAAGTGGATTTCTGATTATTTTAAGTATGACTGTAAAGCATGAAGTGAATAATTTCTGGCTATAAACTAGAGCTGGCCAAACTAGTTTTTGCAGACCATATATCTGATCTGTTTGCTTATTCATCAATTTCTGCTGTTTCTAAAGACTGCAATTTTTTATGTAAATGTTTGGGGTAAGTCACTAACAAAACTCTATTTCTGACGAAGAAATATTTTATGTATTACATTTTCTGTAAATAATGTTCTGTCTTAAATTTTGCTTCAAGAGGATAGTTACACAAAACAGGCAAGACCCAATATAAATTAACTCAGACTCTATGTGTGATATAGTTTCATCTGCAGTTGGTGACCTTGTAGTGGTCTCATTTAGTTCCTGCTCTCATGTACAACCCCATATCGAATTTTTGTTGGGTACTGAGTGATGAAACCTAACTCATAGCCAGCCTTTCAAAAATATCCAAAATCTAATGGCTTTTCTTTGTGAGCATATTGTCATTCTACAGCTCACACTGTGGGACACATCTTTTAGGAAACTTCCTCTATGTAGTGAAATGATGACAAAGTTCCCTGACAGGTTGGAATGCCTGTCTTATTTTCAAACCAGCACAAACCAAAGGCAGCAAATAAGGGTGGAGGGATTGCATCAGAGAGATGAAATCCTTTTTTTAACCTCCTTGGTGTGCAGGGAAGCATACAGCTGTCAGCATCCCCAAAGTTGGATCTCCCAGTATGTCTTCTGCAACTGATGTATAGAGGATGTGATACATACCAGTCCTCTCCATCTCTTCACATGCCTTCTGAGGTGGTTTGCACTCCTCTGCACTCCCTCTTTCCCTGCAAAATGAACCTTTGCACAGGAGAGGGCGCTTATATTTGCAGCAGGGGGATGTAGCATGGTCTCATGATTCAATCTTCAAGTGACAAGAATATGAAGCATAAAAAGAGAAATCTGTTATCCCAAATGGGACTAATACTTATATCGTGGTAATAGATGTTAGTAGCTGCCATCATGAGCTATTGGTAAGAAAGGGTAGGACGCTCGACTCATTATGCATGATCTGTAATTCTCATCATGGATAACTGCTAGGATTTTACTCTCTTACTCCATCCTGTAAGAAATGCTCTGAGGTAAGGAAGCAAAAAGCAGCCTTGCAGACAGACAGAAAGTCTGCTGAGGAGAGATGATAAGGTATGTGGTAAGAATTGTATGAAATATCACATGAATATTTTCTACAAGAGCAAGCTCTCAGTACACCACGAAATGATCCATCCTGTTTGGTAGCCTCAGTCTGTGACAGGGCCTGTGCATTTCAGCCCTTGATCACAGAGCATCCCCTCTATGTTCAAAGGTCTGTCTCGAGATATTTTGTGGAGGGCGATGAAGAATCAAAGAGAAGAGAGATACTGTGGGAAAAAAGTGCTGTGTGATAAACAAAGTCCTGAAAAGCCTTGTAAACCTGAAGTCGCAGATGTTCTGTTCAAATATGCAAATATCCATGTTCAGAAAGCTACTTAGAAATGCAGCAGCCTGTATCACAGTTCCCCATCTGTAAAATGTGACACTTCTTCCCTTGAGCATTGTCTGGCTTCTCGGTTTAAAATACCAGCCCTTGCAGGAGATACTAGAAAGAGTGAGCAGGTGTGTGGTATGCATATTCAGAGCTTATTGCAATGGAGCAGTGAACAGCATGGAGGCAAATATAAGGTATTAAAGCACAAATTCTAACGAGTCAGCACTTTCAGGGTCAGATTCAAAGTACTTTATTTGCTTCTATTTATGCTGGGACACCAGAAAAAAAATATGCAGACTTTCATTTTAACTTTGTGTCTCCTTCTGGTAACATGGACAATAGGCCCTCGGGGGCTTTGCTGGGATTTTCTTCACTGGGATATTTTGGTGTTTGGAGGTGTTTTGTTGTTTCCAAAATATAAGAGTGATACTGATCTACAGAGCTGACTTCCAAACTGGAAACTATCAGGGCCAAGAGAACTCTTAAGGCTCATAGTACCTGGCTGGGTACAGGTACTGAAGACATCAGTAACACTAATGGCGTTTGCTATTGCACTGCTGTACACAATAGGCCCCCAGCAAAAATCTTCAACATCCCTAGTTCTTGGAGACCTATTCAAGTGGACTCTGCCTCTCTAGCTCTTCCTGGCACTATTTTCATAGATTGGGAAGCACTTTCTTAGCACCAGATTTCTGGGATGAGTCTCTGACAATGTGAGTCTGATACACTTGAGACAACAGAACTAGTCTTATTTATTTGAGCTTATCTATTTGATTAATTTGGGGGAAGGGGTTGCCTTACTTACATATGGTTGAGAAGACTAGGCTCACGCTACCCACTACAGTTAGTTTTTATTATTGTATGCTTGACATTTATAGGTGACTAGACAATATGTTTGATAAAGGATATTTGACGAGGTATTACTAAAAAATCCTGCAATTCTCCATTTAGTTGCATGTACAGTTTCTGTCCACCTCTAATTCTTTTGTTCAACTCTTCCCTAAAATAAGGCTTAGGAAAACAGACAGTCCTCAGCTCTCAATGGGATGGTGCAGTTCACTGCACCACTGGCAGTAACTGCTCTGTCCTAAGGGAACAAACACACAAGCCTCAAACTAAACTCAGGACTGGACACAGCAATATGCAAAAGGGAAGAAAAATGTACATTAAACAACAAGAGAACTCAGGAGTATCACTGACTTCTTGTTGTCTTGACCTGTGGGAATGGCCCATCGACAAAAGTCAGGAGATTCCAGGCAGGTCATGAACAAATCTCAAGTTTCTATCAGAAAAAAAGGGGCGAATGGGGAACTTCCTCTGTACACAGGGGTGTGAAGCAGATTCAGGCAGACTGTAATGTCATAAAGATT